TTCTCAAAAAATATCTTACAGGAGATCAGTAAATTTTGTGCAGTCTTGCACAACTGTACTACTCAGCCACACATAATTTACTGATCTCTCTTGAGGGAATTTTTTGAGAATACAAAATCAGATTACATATAGATTACACAGAGTAATCTAACTGAGGACAAGGACAGGGATGAGATTGAGAGTATTGACTGAAGACCAAGACTGAGACTGAGGCTGAAGTTAGATTACTGTAGAAATCAAACTGCGAATGAAGTTAAGAGTGTTAGTAGCTTGAGACTGATGCCAAAGTATGATTACCAAAGAGTGCTGGTGATGAGCTTGCCAATGATTTATGTAATTGCCGAGTTGCTCAATTTTTGCTTGTATGAATTGCTAATAAGGGACACTGGCATGCATTACTACTGATAGGAGGACACTGGATACAGAGGACACTGATAGGAGTTGCTGATATGGAGGCCACTGATACTAGTACAAGTCGCTCAGGAGCTGCTGCTGATACACACAAGCACGTTGATAGAGTACCAGTACAAAATAGTAATAGTAATAATGACAGTACAAAATGTGTGTTGGAAGTCATACTCTAATTTTTGTATTCTGGTTCAGCCTAACTGGGTCATATCAGATTACAATTTTGGAACACAGTAATCCTATCAACAGGCATGTCTTCCATTGAGGTGTAAGAAATAAGACAAAAAATAACTTGTGTTTCTTAGTGCAATTCCAATGTCACTTTTGTAATCTTGCGTGTGCGGTGAATACAAACAAAAAGTGAGCAACTTTACAATTATGTAATATAATTGGCAAGCTACAACATACAAAGGTAAATGAGGGCAAGACAGGTCCAGAGTTGGTACAAATTGTACATGGCTCAACAGAGGGAATAATAGCCTTTATTTGCCTTCCCAACTTCAACCTCCTGTTCCCAATTGTAATTTAACATTCCAAATGTTAAAAATAACGTTTCAAATGTTCCTTTTTTAACATAAGGAACGTTATTATGTCACTTTAGGAGGCCTAAGTGAATCTTAGTATTCTACTAAAAATCAATGTGGTAGTGCACTACCTTCCCAAAACAATTATTTGCATCTTGCACATACCTTAAAAACAAGGAAGAACAAGGATGTCCTTTCCTGCTGACATTCAGACTGTCAAGTAGAGCATTCAGGACATTAAATTTAAGCAAAAACCACAGTACTCATTTCTACATAGCCTATGCTGCAAACATTCAAAATGTTCAATTAACATTGGGAAGGCCCTGTGAAACATAGTTTCTACTAGAGTTACTAAGTACAGCTCTCAAGTTATTGGCAATCCCCATACAAATACTAATAGAAATTTTTAGCTCATTTTTACAGTTAAAACCAGTTAAAAAAGACATCCAACACACAAAAATAAAAATATTTCCATTGTTTAATTTCTGACTACTACTAGTCCCTGCAAAATATTTCTAGCTGGGGAAGGGGGTTCTATCCACAGCAGTAAGGACCTCTAATAGAAATATTTGAGGACTCACAAGTTTGTCTGTCGTGTGGAGGGGGCAGAGGGGAAATGAAGACGGGAAAATAAGAAAAAATTGACGTACTGGGATTAGCTCTAGTTTGTTTCAATGATTCACAACGAATACAATGGAAGGAATGTTGATCACAAATTCGCTAAACGCCGAAAGAACTCCATAATCACGACTAACTCGTGCTATAGAACGAAACACACAAAAAGAGTTCCCATTACGATGACGGTACGAACAGGTACGCAAATCAGAACGATCTTACTTTGTAGAGAAAGCACTCCTCTGTACTCGATATTTCCATTTCTTGACCTACACCTCATACCTTTTTCTTTCCGTGGGCAATTATTTAGGTGTTGACAAAACGAAAGTTGATCCCGAAGCTATCCCAATAGCCACATCTGTTAAGGTCATTGCACCTGCTGAATTGAAGCCAACGCCACTCGAAATTCCCACTGGGTCGGCTGCCTCATCAACTGCCGCACCAACCACCGCATCAGCTCCTACTGCTAACTTTTCAATTGTGGATGTATATCTCGGCAGAGTCCCGACTGTTGTTAATTGTCCACACTGCCACAAAGAAACTTTAACAACCGTAGAGCATCGAGCTGWGTGTWCTACAATCTGTTGGACCCTTGTGCTGGTATTCATATTTTGGCCATTGTGCTGGATACCTTTCTGCATGTCCTCTTGCAAAGAAACTCGTCACTTTTGCGGCCATGACTCCTGCAGAAAGAAGATAGGAGCTACAAATGCATCTTGTTKTYGTTGATAGTGAGATGACTGTGAAAGGGGCGTGGCATCGTTCGCTAAGAGATACGACAAACGCATTATCATCCGGATCGATGACGTTGAAAGACGTCAACRGCATTCGTCAAGAGAATAATTTCCCTTTTATTTATGATTTCGAAACGGTATTTACAAATCAAATTTAGAAATGCTTCAAAAGTTGGAATTACCGGCCTGTAGACTCGACTATAAGAAAAGCATACATCTACCAACTACTACTCTTRTTGATGACATTTATGGGTTAAAAAGCGAAAGCTAAATTATGGAGTATCGAACATGATRCATTAGATCTTTGGAGTACTTGTTCGTCCTCTTTTTCATTATTGTGAAAAGAATTTATTCCCTTTGTGCCTTCTCCGCTTGAGTTTTCAAACGAGCTTCTTTCTTCAGCCGCTGACGTCTTCTCCATTCCAACTTCTTTGCTCGTTTTTTTGACAGCTTGATGCTACTACTTTTTGTAGATCCTTCGTCAGCATCAGGGGCGCTAGAGATTTCTTTTGCCTTGCGTTTYGCAGTGGCATTGAAACCAGCATGACCGYTTTTTGCGGAAGACAATTCTTTCGATGGCTTTACAACGATTTTCGACTTCTGTTTCGTTGATATTTTCAAYTTTTCCGGTGAATAAAATTGGTTATTGTAGAGCTCCATACCTTTTGGAACMTCAATCTTGAGTACATCTTTGCCTTTCAAAGAATCTTTCGTTGTTTGTTGCTTATTGTTCTTCTTTTTTCGTCGAAAACACGCAACGAAGAAACCATTCGTACAATCTTCGTCAGGATGTACTCGAATCAAGCAATTCGCTTGCTCTTGGGAAAGTGATASAATAGATTCTTCCTGTTCATTATCTTTCTCGATCACTAACCCACGTCTGTGCCAGTTTTCGAGACACAATGGGGAACACAGTTCCCACTCACTATTCGAAGCCAATAGCCGTTGGACCACACCTTCATTTTCCTGTACGTATATACTGCAAGTGGAATACACAACACGGTCAACACGAGGGAAATCTGTAGTTGCATGATGAAGTGCTTGAAACTGGAAGTTGCTGAGTGTTTTTATGCGATCATTCAAAAACARCGGATCACGACTGACTGAATTTTCGGTATGGTTAGACATCATACCGCTTCCCGAACAACTGGGGTCAAGCATGATGGCTTGAATGTTTGGAAATTTTTTGTCGACRACTGTCTTGTTACCACCTTCAATCTCTTCAAAACTCTGTTTGGATATTTCGAAAAAGTCTTCATTGTGGCACTGAACTATTCCGTTGGGGACTAACTCGCCCATCCTTCTTTTCAATAATTTGTATCGATCTTGAGACTTGTCAAGTGCATGAATAGTAGACGAAGGATTGGAATCAGAATTTTKTTGCATACTAGATACCAAAGCAGCTAGGTGACTTGTCTTGTTACCTGGAGCAGCACAAGCATCTAAGTAGTCAACCTTCCATGGTTTCTTCCCAATATTTGAATCGTTATTAGAACCTCCAAAGCCGTGGACCATACAAAGAGCAGAAAAACAGGAAGATTTGTCTTGTAATATGACTTTTTGAGATACAACAAGGTCCTGTAACAATGCACGCGACTGAGGAGTATGATCTAGGACTAATAGATCCGGAACGTGCGGATCTATGTACACCCGTTCGGCTTTAGCTCGAATAGTTTTCAATACGTCGTCCCGATCAGCTACCAACGTATTGATTCGTACGTAACGTGGAATTTTAGACGACGTAGAGTTGTCATTTCTCTGGTCRTGTTCATCGTCTTCCCATCCCTCTTCTTCTGCTATCTTTTGAAAATTCTCGTRTAGCGTATCAATTTGCGACATRATTTGTCGTTTTAGAGCACCTCCACCTCGAATTTTTTTATTGGGGCCCATAAGAAGCTCGTAAAGGAGGATGTAAACAAGACCCTGATTCTTCGCTTCAATCTTTGGCACCTTTTTCAGCAACTTTGTCAGGAGTGTTTTGTGTTTCAATACATGGCAACATATCGCATAGGTTGACGTTGAACATTTCAATTCTCCGTCCTTCGAATATACTACAGTCTTCAACCCTTTTCGTCGTGTCCAAATTTCGTTCAATATCTTTGCAGCTGGAGCGTATGGTGACGACGACATTATTCTTTTTGTTTGAGAACTCTTGGATTGAATAAATGATCTAGGCGATGCAAAGACCCATCATCTAAATTAAGATCTTAACATTAACGATTGATACCGGACGGTATGATTTTGTCCAGGACGGTCGAATCATTCAGCATGGTCCTTTTTGTTAGTAGTAGTTGACATTTTTTCATGATTCGTTCTTCCGAGTTTGTACGGTATCTCCGTCAAATACTACCAGTACTCGTACCTGGTTCGTAAAAGATGATATCCGAGAAGAAAAATAAGGTTGGTCGTCGTTGATCCGAACAATAATGTCTGGTCGTCGGTCGTCAAAATGTGACACACTTGAACGCTGTTGATGTCCTATTTGACGTGGCACGCGGGTGCGCAATTTTTTGTTAGCGATCCTGCGAATGAGGAAAATTATTTATTGTACTACAAAGTTACAGTAGTACGTACGCACTCGTRCAAAAAATATGGATTTTCTTGCGAAGTAGATGTACTCACGTAGTAMTGTACTGTATCAACGTAAACGGSACAAATGTACGTACAAATCTCAACGCACTAATCGTAMCGACACCTGTAATGACTTGACTATGATGTACATGAGTGTCAACGAGAAACTCCGGTACRGTACATACCAGTCACAGAACTTCAGCACACGATGCGAATTCGTTTCGACACACAAACAAGGTCACATCGGAGCGAAAGTCACAGCGTTATAGCTTGAGCTTTACATCGTAACCACAACAGATTTGTACAGTCACCATCGGCATGATAAGYTAGAACAAAATATACGAGCTACAGAGTTCTCAATATCTTTCTCAAAGAATCACTATCTAGTTTTCCTTACCAAGCACTTTCGGCATTTTACCCATCGCTAGTTGAAACRAGAAACAAAGTTGCAAAGAGAACATAGTTGGAAGATCATGACAGCGCTCAAGATCATACGCGATTTTTTCCCATGTGATTTAAGCCGGGATGCTCCGAGGACGAAGCGCAGAAAGAAATCAGAATCTTCACTTCGTCATGTAATGGAAGGCGGSAGTGAGGTGCAGAAAAATCAGCAGCAGCAAAACGAAATTCTATCAAAGGTGGCACCTAGCCTTTTTGTCGCCCACGCCTTGGCTGAGAATGGCCTGCCCGACCGCATTGATCCCTTATCGATTGAATACTTGATGGAATTTGATTACGATGACGGAASTTTCCATCATGATATGCCTACGGAAGTTTTGATGGCCGTAAAGAGCGGAAATGTTGATGCACTTACTCGTCATTATGTAACAAGAGATCGACTTSTGGCTCAAAGAAATTCGCATGGAGAGACTCTTCTCCATCTAGCATGTCGTTTGGGCTCGGTTGCTCTTGTRAAATCGTTGCTTTGCGACGCGCAAATGTCWGCGTTGGTTCTTGATCGGAAAGGGAGAACTCCGCTKCACAGTCTGTGCATGGCTATGGATGCAAAAAACGTACGCGACGTCACAAATTATCCAAATTGCGACCAATTGGAGTCGATGCGTTTACTTCTTCGAGAAAAATCCACTCTAGTCGTATTTCAAGACAAGGAGGGAAAGGTCCCGCTTCAATACATTCGACAATCCGAATGTATGAAAACTAATGATGAYCACCAGCGTACACTTCTATATAGTGTTATCAACGAGATGCTTGCCTCTGAACAAGTAGTTGAAAGAGTGGTCGAAGAAATCTCTTCTCGAGCGAAAAGCTTGCGTTTGGGTCAACGGCTGTCARCAATTGAGAAAATAAATACGCTGTTGGATTTTTCTGGCATCGAAGCTGCCATAATGGAAACAGGACTGAGTATTTAAGTGCACTCGATTCTTTTCTTGCTTTTGGACTACTCTAGACAGATTTAAAAAGATTCAAATCACTTTTAGATGACGACCATTTAAAACGCGAATTATGAAGATTGAATATCATCACGTGATTAATTCATTGACCATCACTTCTATTCGAAACCGTCGGGTGATGGGATCCTAGAGTAAAAATTTTATTWTATTTAGCCTCGTGAACCAGAGGAGACACTAGGGAAGCCAGAARCATTTCTCTGGGAAGAGTAACGCATGATCATGGAGTGGGTGTTAGTAGAAACGCATGAAGACATACGGCAAATMTTGTTATACAATTTTCATGAATTATTAATTGGTTTGAAGCGATCCACTGCGATGCATGATTAGGTTTGAAGACGAAAAATGCTTGAAGCCACGATCAATTGGTTGTTGCACTTAGTTATCGCCGTAACTCGCACRGTASAGAGTCATGATTTCAAAATCTCTCTGTGGAAGCAGGAACGAGCCTACCATCGTTCTYCTCTCWCACTGCCAGYAGTCAATTGAATTTTTATAGCTTTTTTTCAGAGAACTAAGTTTCTAAACTAACTATTGGTACGACGTCATCCAGTAGTATTCAACATCGGTAGTATTTTACTAGGAACGATATTGYCATCGTGCGTGTTTTCTAACTACAGTAACTTGAAGAWGATTTGCTCGTGGCACGAGCTACAGAGAAAGAGATTTCCTATTAGTATTTTTTGGCCGTGAAGCGATGAACACGAAGACAACTATTTTTTCTCTACGGTACCTCCGCASACCAAGATACTACAGTATCATCATTTTTTCGCTTACAACTCGACGATTGCTGATMCACGTGTTAAASATGGGATGTTGTCTAAGTTTTTGATACTCCGATTTTGTGGGCGAAGTTATTTACGCGGTAGAAATCCTCAGTCACGCSCGTACGTGAACGCGACCTTAAATATCCAACGGTCTACGATTTTGCTCCATRCACTCATTGGGCGGCTAATGTGCATCCATTGGCGATATCCCCGTAAGTATCTCTCCGACCGCCTCGCCCCGGCGCGGATTTTCGAGCGTTTCGGCATCCGGAATTTTCATRTGTATGAAGATCAGAATCGTCTCAACCGTTCTTCGTTTTACCATCTCATGTGTTCAGCGCGGCACGAATCTGAAAGCTGGAGAAGCTTTTGTTACAAATAACAATCGTTGCCTGCCGCATCGACATTTACCAAGAAAACAAAACATTATAACTCAAGTTCATCGCACCATGCCTCTCCTCACTGCTACTGTTGTCAAGGAAGAAACGAGCTCAAAGCTTGGAATCGCTTTCGAGCGCCTCGCTGAGGATAAGGCCATGACCATCAAATTGATCCGAGATGATAGTCTTTTTGCCGGAAGCGATTTATGCGAGGGCTTGATTGTTGCCAGCGCTGTCGGTAAGGACATGGAGGGTATGTCTCCTAAGGACTGCGCTGATGCCTTGCGAGAAGCCCCTGGAGGTGAGGAAATCTCTTTGGTTTGCAAGGGAAGTAAGGCCACCATCAAAAAGGAAAAGAAAAAGCTTCTGAAGAAGGAACCCAAGATTGGKATTTCCTTCAAGAGCACCACCAGTGCTCCAGGAAAGATCTTCATTTCTAACATTAAGGAAGACAGCAAGTTCGCTGGAACTGATTTGACTGTTGGACACCAAGTCCTCACCATCAACGGACAGAAGTGTCCTGGCCGAGTGACCGAGGCTGTTGAAATGTTGACCAAGAAGGGTGTTTCGGAGATCACTCTTGTCACCATCGACCCCGAAGACGAAATTGTTGTTCCCAAGGTCAAGGAAGAGCCTGTCGAAGAAGTTGTTGAAGAGAAGAAGGAAGACACAGAAGCGGCTGCCGCCGAAGAGCCAAAAGAAGCTGAAGAAGACTTGACACCCGAGGGCAACAAGACCATCCTCGACACTATGTTCGGTGTATGCATGTGCTAAACGCCAAGCGCATATTCTGGCTATCTATCAACCAACAAAAGTAGTACTCGAAGCAATGCCTATTCATGGGTTCGACGAAGACTGTGGTGACACATCCAATACTGGGGTGCCCGGTATGACCCTTGTTTTGAGATGTCAGGGACATGCTTTTCCAGTGCCCGGCACACAGTGCTATTGGARCACTTGCGTGTGCCTATTATGTTGAGACATATACGTGTTAATATTAAAAAATAAAAGTAAAATTCTACTTTGCCATGTGTACGCAAAACTTGTGCAATCGTTTTATGTTCTGTTGCCCGATGATCGGCATGCGATGATGAATACAATAAATCAAGAATCTGGAGGAAGTGAACGACTGCACTAAAGGTCTAAAAGCATAAGATGCCACAACATTGATTCATCGTTGGTTCAGGCTAACATAAAAATTAYTCATTTTGACAATTCTTCTGACCTTGTTGTCTAAAGCGCTTCTGCAAATTTTGAGATACCTTCATCTTTACAATTTGCTTTATGGCGAAACCTTGAAAACCCAATTTCCGTTCTGTACTCGTCTCGAAAGACGGTACGGCGATTTCAGATGCACATACCGCGCCTCACAACAGTAGCCATCCTTCACATTCCGATTGCAACGGTCGCAATGAAGAGGTTCGTAAGGTACGTTATTGCGAAATATATGGTATCACATGGCCAATCTATTACAAGTACTTCGTATGATCATYAGTACGAACCGACCAGTACGGCAGGCTTGCKTTTCAACGTGKTCAAATGCTTCCCAGGCCGTAAAATAAGTTGGGACGTTCTTGYATTTTGGGTATTTCAGTGCAATCAGTTAAGTGGGGAATTTTGAGTCGATCAGCTCAACTGCTGCTTCCGGATCATATTCCAATCAAAGGTTAGTAGTAATAGTAGTAGAACTGCTGGCCTTTTTCATCTTGTAGTAGCAGCAGCAGCAGTACTAGTAGTACTAGTAGTAGATCTTCCATTTGAGTACTGGTGCTTCTATGTCTGTTGGTGGTTCATCTTCTGGTTCTTCCTGCAGTTTTGGGAGACTGATCCTGGTAGTAGTAGTTGCTGTTGCATTTCCTTGGCTATGAAACCGTTGGAAAAACAATGGTAGCTTCTTGGTGCAAGGATCTTATTAAACACCCACGCCATAGATCAACATGATACAACATGAAAGAAATGTTGGAACAGGAGTTTAGGGTAACAATGCAAATTTGTTGGAAGAAGAAGCAAGAAGACTAGTATCCCAAGGGTTTGAAGATACAAAAAGAGGAAGGTAGTATGGATGCAGGAGAGTGGATCTGGTGAGACCAAGTGCCCCCTGACATAAAGGTCAACCATGTACTAGTATATGGTAGTGGTATATAAAATAMATTGGTGTACCAAGCCTGTGTGCACTATAATGGAGGACGAGCACCACCAGTATTACTAGGGCAATTGACAAGAAGTACTCACACTGTCACACACAGGACAAAAACCAGCAAAAAAACACATGTCATGAAGGTAATTATTGACAATCACCTGGAATACAGAAATCCTTGTCAGCTATCAAACTTGCTCCTCTTGTTGAGGGTAGCACACCACCAGCAGTTATTAACATACTACTAGTATACACAGTATACTGCTTTTTATCAGTTTTTAATTGAATTGGGGTGGGATGCTGGGGGGGTTGGGGCACAAGTGGTTAAAAAGACAAAACAAAGAACAAGGAAAACAGACAATGTTGACAACACCAACAGGTAGGGATTTCTTGCTGTGGACAGCCAATACTAAATTTTGATGAACCTACTGCCCTTTAAGATCCCAACTGATTGATTAGATATTTTTGTTCTTGTATCCCCCTATTRTAAAAGATCAAGAACTTCCAAAAGTTCTCTCTTTGTAAGAGGTCTATCCAAGCATCTTTCCATTCCTTGGAGTCTTCCTTGTTTTTCATTCCTTGTTACAGCAGTGATTAGATCTTTCACTTGCTGTGACTTGGTACTAGGATCCTCACCACTTGGCATGAATCACAACAATAGAGCTCTCTTGTAGCAAAATAGCATTGGAGATGTGGCTTGAGTAGGAGTTTTGTTCCCAATATCTGGATCCTCTTATCCCTATGCTTCTGCCCCAAGGAACATGATTTGGTGTTTGATGGCAGCTCCACTGCTTACATGTGAACATAGTACTATCCCCAGGGAATTGCATATCTCCATTTGGACCATCCACTCTATCATGTACAAAATGCATTAATTCAATGAGCACTGAGGAGTGGTACTGGTGCCACTGTCCTGGAGCATCACCGGGAGGTGTCACAGTCCCCCACTTTGTTTGGGAGCCTTCTTGCAGCTCCTCACCAGTCCTGTTGTTACAACTCCTGCTGGGGCTCTTGCCATGGTGCTTGGTTTGCTTGTTGGTTGCTTGTTAATTTGTGTATTAGGAGCTTCATCATTTTGTGAGTACAGAAGAGCTGAATGGCACAAAGAAAAATCTGAGTCTTGGGCTCAATACTTTAYWRTAGTGTAGGAGTAAATATTGAAGTGTGAGTTGCAAAACCRGCTGCACTCAAAGCTAGTAGTAATAGTATTGCAGTTTTGTGCAACCAAAATAAGTACAGACACCACCAAAGCTGAGGTGCTAGTACAGTTGCTCAGTAGAAACATGTRCCAGAATGCACATGGAAAATTGAGGTATGGCTTAAAGAAGAAGTATGGAGTGGTGCAGACATCATGCATACTGGCCTCCAGGGGATTTATGTAGAATTTCCTGCCAGGACGAGGTTAGAATTTTTTGAGAAATGGGTTGCAAAAATTAGGTATCCAGGAAGTACATGGGGAAATCAACAACAACTAGTAAAATATCAACCCTGCAGAATTTAGTATCAACCCTGCAGATTTTAGTACATAATATATGCAGGTCTTATAGACAGTGCACGGCAAGACTGGATGGAAAAAAGTATCAGGGTGATTGTCAAGAAGTACTCACACAATCAYGAATAAGGCAAAGTCTATGAAAAAACTCAAGTCGCAAAGGTGATTCTTGACAATTACCTCAAATCACAAGAGAACACTGATATTGGCACTCTTTGTCAGCCATTAAACTTGCTCCTATTGTTGAGGCTATTAACATAGGAGAGACCAGTACATTTTTGTCCTTTTTTGATATAAGGGGTGGGCAAGGAGTAAGAAAAGACACACACAAAGAACAAATGCAACAACATGGTTGTTGTTGCTGCTGTTGATCATCACCAGCACTGGCAAACTTTTGTCTGCTAAGCAAGCGATAAGCTCCATTAGTAGCTTTGTGAGGTCCCATAGCACTAAGGATGAATGATACCCTCTTGTTGTTCCCTGGATCACCATAGACGCTATAGATCCTGCAGATTGCTGTGTTGGAAGTAGAACCACCAGCACTAGTAGCTAATTAGTCATCATTCCACACAGCAGTTCCAGAACTTCTTCTTCCTCCTGCAGTACTTGTTCTTCACCCTCCCACAGTCAACAGCAGTAAAGTCGTCCTTTGCAGGCTAGTACTAGTTCAGACCAACACCAACACCAACTCAACTCAACACTCATTCCAAGAAAGGACATAAAGGTCACAGGGGCAGTTAACCAAGAACTCTACTACTACTAGTAGTGCTGCTCAGACCAAGTTGATACAATTACTTRGAGATCCTGGTCATTGGGAAGCCAATGGATGCTCTAGCGGCTTAGAACTAGTCTGTCAAAGCCATATAAGTGGATGACCAACTCATTTTAATTCTAGGTGTAATTTTAATACCGATTGACTGGTACAGTAATTGCTGTGAGGCTAAATCACGAGTAGCTAGTGAATAAATATTGCCATTCTTTTCTGAATTCTGTATGACAAAGAAGGCAATACCTCCGCTGGCTCTCGTATTGTCGTTTGCGGGAACATCACTGTAACAATTGTCAACAATCACAACATCACCACGTTCGATTTTTTCTTCGTTCCTGTTGCTTTTCAATTCTAGTGGATTACGCAATGTGGAAGCAATATGGGGGATAGCAACAGAGATGCTGTTACTAAAAAAATGCACTCCAAAACAGAAGAGAATGGTAATGGGGGATGCAGAAAGAACAACTGGAGTATTTGGAAAGCTATTGACAAATTGGAGCAACGGAAAGATAACTTCCATCCAGAAATCACGGCACAGGTCTTGGAAATACTGAGAATCTGGGGGGGGRAGTGGCAGGGGAATTCCACGATGGCCTCGCTTCTGAACAAAAGCACTCTCYATTACGAAATCGAAGAAACAATCGTTGCGATACACTACCTCGTCGAAGGGCTTGCGCGACGCGACGAAAGAAGGTGCCATGTCGTAGATGTATGTGCAGGAAAGGGAATGCTATCCTTTCTTTTATCATATTTCAAACATCCAAAAGTGGCCTCGATTGTAATGCTAGAAAAAGCAACCATTGATTGGAGTCACATTTATGAAAGCAACAAGACCGCAAAGGATGAAAATCGCCCTGAAATAACGATTTGGGACAATACCAATCTTCACGATTACGATGATGTTCTTGATAGATTGCTTGCCTTGCCGCACCCAGTAGCAATGTGTGGAATTCATCTCTGCAAACAACTCGGCCCTTCATTTTGTGGACTATTTAATGGACTTGGGAAAAAATCTATCTATGGATGCTTGTCACCGTGTTGTATGCCTCGGGCGGTCACGACCCAGAAGAAGAATGCGAAGAAAAGAAAGACATTTACGTTGTCCATACAACTGATGGAAACTATAGAGGACCGTTGTGCGAGACGCGATTATATGCTCCGACGAGAACGACTTCGGCGGAAGGTCAGTTTCGTTTTGATGATAATGAGAAAATGCTCAATTCCCACTGAGAGGTGGATATCATTTGAGATTTGCCTCACCTTCACCTTACTATTGCGCTCACTCTATCTCTTCCTCTGTAGCCTTTGACTGGTCCATGTTTCTATTGCAAATCAGAGGATCACCCAATATTGAGGTGTCCAGCTCTAAACACTCTTCCAGAAGAAGAACAGATTTCAACTCGTCGGGCATGGCACATCGCAACCGTTCCGTGTTGGAATTGTTTGGAAATTGGTCACTACAAGAGCGAATGTCCGAATGTCGGAAAAGATGGCGTGGCAAGAGGTAGATCCTCTAGCCACAATGCACAGCAACCACCTACTACTATTTTGGACGTGACCAATCTCCTCCAGGCTCCAAACCCATACGCTTCCTACTGCAATGTTCTTGCAACTGCATTTCAGAAAAAAGATTTACCAACAATTAGGGTGAGAGTAGTTGAAACCAGCCTTGAAAAACACGGAGCCCATGATGAGAAAAACTGGAATGCCAGAAGGAAGTCAATTTTTATTGTTGTGGACTAATATTGTGTACACATGGGGAATATCTGAACCATGATAGCTTTTGGTTGATTTGTTCTTGAAAAAGTTAAGGTTGTACAGTTTGGATAGTTTATTYAACTAGCTAGTAATAGTAGTAGAAATACTTTTATGCCGTAAAAATAAATTGAAAAGAAAACGTTCAAGTTACCGTACGGTACATTTTCTTATTTGTATGGTGAAGTACAAAGGATGGAATACTGTATTAAATTCGACACGATACCCGCGCACCGCACCCCTAAAAAATTATGACCCATGCTCAGGTACGAACTCGTACTCGTACCAMAAGTGCGCTGAATTCGATCGTTTCAAATCTGGCTTTCAAATTCACCACGATCGGCTAAAAATAGTGAGCGCTTGTCAAAACAAAATACTTCTAGTACTAATGTTTTTGCTGCAATGGGTATGTACGTTCGACTCGTTGCAGGCTACGACACAAGTACCATACTGTACGAAACAACGATGACCTTTCGTTTRATTTTGCTTGGGCCCCATTTCGATCTTGACACATGTTTCATTAGCGGCAGTGGTCATAATCATAATAAGTACAGTACGTRCAGACGAACTTCAATTAGTGTCATGTGTTTATTTTTTGTTTTTAATATTCATGACATTGTTTCGATCGGACAATATTTTTTGGGAGATCCCTCAAGTAATACCGTACAATTCTGTAGTCGGTCCCACAAAATTTTGCTGTTTCATCAGTCAAAACAAAACCAMCGAAATCAAACTTAGCAATAGAAGAATACGATCAAAAGTAGTTTCGGAACAAAAATTACAATACTACAATAATCTCATTATGACGATGACACCGATAGAAAATGATATCGAGGCTGGATCGATAGGCCACCGTTCGCTATCAGAATATTCTGAATCCAATCTGACTACTACGCATGCCGAAGACGATGTAAYCACCGAGGCTAACGGTCAGTCGGTGAAGGATACCCGCATCAACCAGTTGGCGGCCAAGGAGATCAAACAAGTTCAACGCATCAAGTATTTTGTTCTCTTCTCTCTTCTTTTTATCATGSTAGGTGTTTCAATAAGTGCTTATTTCTTAAGCTTCAATGACGAAATGAATGATTTCAAACTCCAATTTGATCAAGATTCCGATAAGGTATTTTCCGTAATGGGAAACAATCTCGTTCGTACGCTACAGGCATCAGACGCTTTTGCAGTCTCAATAGCATCGTTGGCTACTGCTACCAACCAAACTTGGCCATATGTTGTCATTCCCGATTTTGCTGTACGAGCCGAAAAGATAAGGTCGCTTGCGAATGCTGTTTACGTCACCACGTACAACGTCGTTCAACCCAACGAACGAAAAATTTGGGAAGACTTCACGGCCAAAACTGGAAAAGTATGGGTCAATGAGAGCATTGGTGCCATCGAGATCTTCGGTGGTATGGATTGGCCTATTCTTTGGAATTACACGCTTTGGGACGTTATCCATGATTATGAAGAATTCGAAAAAGAAAATCCCGGCGAAGTCGGAGTTAACACCCCGGGACCCTGGTTGCCTCAGTGGCAAACCCAGCCGACTATAGCATTAGAACCTCCATACAACTGGTACGTTTTCAGCTGAATCCATCTCTTGCTTGAAGATTATATTTCTGTTCTAAATGCTTTTATTTCTTATGTTTTTCCCGAATACGTAAAGGGACCTCACGAGTGCACCGCCTACCAAAGAAATGAACACGACTGCTGCGCAGAAAATTTTCGATACTCACAAAGTGACAATTACAGATGCATACTTGATTTCTTACTCGGATGACGTTAAACATATTGAAAGTGATTTGGAAGAAGCAGAATGGATATCAAGTTATGTTCAGAAAGGTGAGGAGGTAATGGAACCGATCTCGGATATTTTCTATCCGATAATAGAGGAAGCCAATGAAAAAATCAAAATAAACGTCGAAAGCGGTACTGACCACAGTGCCAACCAACAAAGCRTTGTTAGCATCTTCTCTCTGTCGATTTACTGGAGAGATACTATTAAAAATATTTTTGGRGAAAGATCCCRTGGTTTGGTAATTGTATTTGAGAACCCATGCAACCCTACCTTTACTTATCAACTCAACGGACCTGATGCAGTCTTCCTCGGTGCAGGAGATTTTCATGACGAAAAATATAATCATTTCATGGTCCGTAAAAATATTTCCGAGCTAACTAGACCAGCRATGGAAGAGTCATTGTACTCTGGGATTGAACTCGACGACGAGTTTTGTCCATTCACTATCAGTCTCTATCCGTCTGATACAACAAAGAAGCACTACACTACATCCACACCAATCTTTTATTCACTGATCACGGCGGTTATTTTTGTTATCACTGCTTCAACATTTATGTTGTATGATTTCTGGGTCGAGCGGCGTCAAAAGGTAGTTATGAAGACTGCTCTGACTACCACCGCACTGGTCTCGTCGCTATTCCCCGCTGTTGTTATGGATCAAATGCTTCCCGAYGGCGATRACTCTTCTTTATGTGATAGGCAGCCCAAAAGACTGAGATCATACCTGAAGGATRGAAATGAGGATGATGCGGTTCCTGAACCTGAGGCAGAACTTAAGGGYTTGGSCAAACCAATCGCCGAACTTTTCCCTGATACTACCGTATACTTCGCTGATATTGCTGGATTCACAGCTTGGTCTAGTGTCAGAGAACCTTCTCATGTTTTTACCCTGTTGGAGACCCTTTATGGAGCCTTTGATGAAATAGCAAAACAGTATGGRATTTTCAAGGTTGAAACAATTGGAGATTCATATGTTGCTGTTTGTGGATTGCCGGATCCTCGGAAAAATCATGCCGTTGCAATGGCGAGATTCGCTTTTGAATGTGTCGAAAAGATGAAAGAGAAAACAAAAGAATTAGAACTTGTTCTTGGCCCCGGAACAGCTGAATTAMGCCTTCGCACTGGACTTCATTCTGGTCCCACTATTGCTGGTAAGTCGCCAAATCTTAGCATCATGTTTTTTTAAAAAAAAACCGGAATGTACATTCTCATTATTTTTACCTCCTTCTGTAACTCAGGTGTATTGAGGGGAGAAAAAGCTCGTTTTCAATTGTTTGGAGACACCGTCAATACTGCTGCTCGAATGGAAAGTACGGGCGAGCCAAATAAAATTCAGGTATCTCAAAAGACAGCTGATTTAATTACWGCAGCTGGCAGAGAAAAATGGCTGATCCGCAGGGAAGAGCTAGTCCATGCAAAAGGCAAAGGTCAGCTCCAGACCTATTGGCTTCAACGAAAGAGAAAGAGGTCCACATCGAGTCTATCCTCAGAAAATGGTTCCTACTTGGAAGATCGTATCTCTRCTATGGACCTATTTCCCAAAGAAAGTACGATTGATAGCCCTAAAATTCAACGCCTAATAGATTGGAACGTAGCAATTTTCACAGATCTTCTCGAAGATTTGGCAAGTCATCGGCACAGTACTCTCTCAATTTCAGATCTTGATATATCTAAGAGAACACTGGGCAAAGATCCTTCAAAGAAAGCAAAGTGCGTCCGRGATGAAATAGTGGAGACCATTCAAATGCCAGATTATAGAGCYGCAACTATTCCAACCAATGAGACCTTCAAACTTCAACCAAGCGTAATCAAGCAACTCCGCGATTACATCACCCAAATAGCACAATTTTACCACAAAGACAACGGCTTCCATAATTTCGAACATGCTAGTCATGTTATTATGTCATCTGTCAAGCTACTTCAAAGAATTGCAACTCCAGATGTGAAAAAGAAAGATTGTGAAACCGAACAAGATTATTTCAATTATACCTTTGGCATCAGTTCCGATCCTGTRACCAAATTTGCAGTTGTCTTCTCGGCTCTGATTCACGACGTTGACCATCAAGGAGTTTCAAATTYCCAGCTTGCAAAAGAAAAAGAYCCTATGACTATAGCATATAACAATAAAAGTGTCTTGGAGCAGCATTCGGTGGATTTGGCTTGGTCCATTCTTGAAGAATCAAACTTCACCGAACTCCGTGAGTGTATCTTTACAACAAAAGACGAGCACGAGCGGTTCCGTCAACTTGTCGTGAATTGCGTAATGGCAACCGACATTTTCGACCAAGAATTGAAGAACTTCCGTGATRGTCGCTGGGAGAAGGCATTTCGACAATCCAACTCGTGCCAGGATGGAATCACTGAACGTGATGACTGGAACCGCAAGGCTACCATCACGATCGAGTGCATAATCCAAGCATCAGACGTCTCTCATACCATGCAGCACTGGCATGTTTATCAAAAATGGAACAAGTGTCTCTTCAATGAGATGTACACGGCGTACAAAAATGGAAGGTCSGAYAAAGACCCTTCTGAGGGATGGTATACAGGCGAGCTTTGGTTCTTTGACAATTACGTCATTCCTTTGGCTTCGAAGCTACGAGAATGCGAAGTATTTGGTGTTTCATGCGACGAATTTTTGGATTTTGCAATAGAAAACCGAAAGGAATGGTCAGTGAAGGGACATGATATTGTTGCTGAKATGCTAAACGACGTTCAGGATGATGCGGTGAACAAGGACACAAACTCCACGAAAGCAGAAAAGCCGAGATCTGAAGTATCTAAAAAATGTTGTGCACCGGGGAACAAATGAATTACTAGGTCCAGACCTTAGGCTGGCTGGTTCACGATGACAGTGGGCATAAAAAATCGCAGTAAAAGTAGATACTCGAATACATCTGTATCATACGMCTAATCTTCATACTAAATAGGATAGTTAAACTCAATACAAGAGATTTTTTWAATTCATTTTTAATAAAGTAGTCTAGATAAGGAAATTCTATTCTCTTCTATTCGTTCGCACCACATCACATMGTCGTTCTAAGATCAGATATTTTGGGAAAAGAACAGCGAAGTTTTGATTCCTCGTCATTCTATCAGATTAGGCCTCATCTTCACCAAACGTTAGACGGCGGTTCGTGTCGGGAAAAAGCAATGGTTTGTTTGGATCCAACAGTGGTTTCCTCTTAGRTTTCTTTTTTTGGGTGGTGGTTTTGGCTCCTTGACTCTTCTTACTGATTGGCACTACTACTGATTTCCTTTTTACTACGGCATTCTGACCATTAGTCGAAGAATCGTCGTCACTATCCGATGAGGAKGASGAGGACGAGGAGGACGATGACGATGATGTCGAAGAAGAGCTTGTGCTTGAGTCATCACTCGAACTAGTACTTGAATCGTCGTCGCCATCAGAGATGTCATCACGTGGTGGGTGAGCATTTTTCTTCGTGGCATTCTTTTTCTCAGGTTGTAATTTKGCAGGAATGGCACTTTTCGGTCTTGAAGAGGGRTCCTTCTTTTGTGGTTCTTGCACTTTTTTGTGTCCTATCTCTTTCGGAGCTGATGGCTTCGTATCCGTTTCAATTTTGGAGTCCAACCAGTCTCTGTCCTCATCGTCGTCATCACTTACAGAGCTGTTGTCCCTATCGGCAGCCATTCTYCTCTTGTCCGCTGACTTCTTTCTTTTGGTTGCTTCGTTATTTTTGGTTGAAACGTTTTCCTTGCTCTTGGTTGTTTCCRTTTCTTTTCTCCTATCGTTGTCTTCGTCCGTCTCATCCGACAGCACATTGTCATCGCCGTTCTTGGTGCTATTGATTTGCGAAGATGGATCACGATCCCCATCACTGCTGATAGTATCGTCACTTCTTTTTTCGCGAGWTGGGTCCAAAGCTCCCTTCTTCTTAGCTTGGTTGGCCTTGCCGTCGACCTCTGGGCGAAGAATGTCCTTTTTCGCCGATTTGTCGTTCGCGACTGTTTTTTTTCGACTGGCATTCAAATCGATTGACGTTTCGTCGTGGCTGCTCTCTGGACTGCCTTTTCCTTGCTTCTTTGATACAGATTCGAGTGTTTCACCGGGAGTGCTTTTATCAATAGCTTTCGATGCATTGTTGAAATCGCTCTTGATCTTAGCGTGAACGATTTCTGAGTCTCCCCCCTCGAGATCCCACTTTCCCTTCTTTTTTCTGAAAAAGCGAAAAATAGCTGCRGTGATGCGTATCAAGCCTTCTCTTTTTGACGAGTGCTTGTTRTAATCGCTAATTTTTGACGCGATGTACTCGTGGTATTTTTCGTTACCTAGGTGTTCATGTTGCTCCTTTCCGCTACCAAACAAAACGTCGCGTTCCCCGAAGCCCTTCACGAGAGTTTTTTTGCTCGCCTTCCTCTTTTTGGACGGCGTTTCGTCGACACTGATTTTGCGTTTCGGGCTGTTGGTGCTTTTTGTCATGGAAGCTTTCTTGGGAGACGCTGCTGCTTTTGTCTTGCTAATTGCCGGTTTCTCAGCAGATGCAGTTGGGGTCTTGGMAATTGCCGTTTTCTTTGAAGATGCTGTTGCTGTAGTCTTGGCAGTTGCCGGTTTCTCTKGCTTGGATCCTGCAGCTACTTTGGTCTTGACCATTGGCGGTTTCTTGGTAGATGCTGTTGCTGTTGCTGTCTCGGCCATTGCTATTTTCTTGGAAGACGCTGCTGCTGCGGTCTTGGAAATTGCTGGTTTCTTGGCAGATACTGTTGGGTTCTTCACGGGTTTAGTGGAGAGAGTTTSATTTTTTTGATCGCTKGGCTTCGATGCTTTCTTCACAGTTGGAGGAATGCCTTCCTCTTGTTGCTTTTTGAGTGTTTTCTGGCGTTTCTTGGGAGGAGACGCCTCGCTCTGTTCTTGGAAAGCAGTCGCGGTCTCCGCCGATACCTTAGTAGCCTTTGCAGGGCTTCTTGCACCACGAGGTGGGGGAACAGCCGCTGTGGGCTCGCTGGGGTCAACAGTGCGAGGATCGGCACCGGCACCAGCACCAGCACCACCATTGGTTCTAGAAGGAGCAGCCACTACCACGGTCGTGGCGGTAGTTGTGTATGACGATGGGTTGTCCTGCCAGCTTCCCACTCCCCCCGAGCGCAACATRATTTTCTCATCCGGGTCGATCAGACCGAAAATAGCGTCCCGGGGACTCAGCAGGACGTCCGAGTCGACCGAGACGAGCTCCAACCGCAGGCATTTCGGTTCTCCGTCGGTTCGTGCGGCCTGCTTTCGCTTCGTGGAGGGATTGGTCGACCTTCCCGGGGTTGGCGACCGGACGTGCAGAGACCGAAYGGGACCGAGGCTCAGCACCACCGCATTCGCCTTGCTTCCCGGCGAGAACAGCTCCATCAATTGTGCGCTTTGCACTTCCTTCGACAGGAACTCGTGCAACCAGTCTTCCACGACCACGTTGGGATCATTAACGAGCCTTCGCACCTTGATCGCTTTGTTGTTGTTGTTGTTGCTGTTGCTGTTGCTGGTTCTGTTGTTGTTCTTGTTCTTGTGGTTCGTTCCAACGATATGCACCGTCACTCGCTTGCTGCTAGCAGGTGCGGGTGCAGTTCCGGCTCCGGCAGCTGCAGCTGCTGTTGCAGGCGACGCAGCAGAGCCGTTCAAGCCGTTCATAAAGGCAAAATAATTTGCTGCCATCTGAGGGTTGGGAAGAATGTACGGAGAGTCCATTCCTAGGCCGAGGGGATCGATGAAGGAATATGGAGTCAGTGGTGTGGGACGCGAGGCGCGGAACGTGGTGCCGTTGCTGTCGTCGTTGTTGCTGCTGCTGTTGGCTCCGTCTTCGCTGCCTCTATTGGCGTTGTTGCCTCTGGCTTCGCTCGCTGATGGATCCATGGTTCGATCTCCCSTTCAATCGTCGGTTTGTAACGCGTGGGTACAAATCCGTAGCTWTCTTGGCGTCAAAACGATTCGGTCGTCAACGGCGGAGTGAGTATCCACGCCGAGACRAATACTGTATTGGCACAGAAACAGCAGCAGTTGCCGCAAGATATKGTTTTGATGATGTCTGCCGTTACGAGTACGAGTACCGTACGAACTCCTAGGAGTAACTCGTACCGACATCCACTACCTTTTGGATTTTGATGCCACATGCGCGGGTTCGGTGCGGTGAAGACGGTGATGCTTCGAGTCGCGATACGTTACGTACTCCTTCACGCGCGCAGTCCGTACTGTTCTGTACAACTAGTACTGCATATCCCGTCTAAATATTTTGACACTATTTCAGTTCTTTTCCTGATCATCTTGTTGTTCTTGTTGTTGTTGCTTCTCAGATGGAATTCTGACCCTACACGAGGAAAAAAAAACTGTCGCGCATTCCTCTAAATTATGACACCTGACGTACGGTACGTACCTGCTCCTTCACGCGCGCAGTCCGTACTGTTCTGTACAACTAGTACTGCATATCCCGTCTAAATATTTTGACACTATTTCAGTTCTTTTCCTGATCATCTTGTTGTTCTTGTTGTTGTTGCTTCTCAGATGGAATTCTGACCCTGCACGAGGAAAAAAAAAATGTCGCGCACCCCTCTAAATTATGACCCCTGTCTCAAAGCACGTAAGTAAGACTACGTACGGTACGTACGGTACTTCAAAACCTAATGAGAAGGTTTTTCGTTCCTTGAACGTACTGCGTATGTAACGGTCTGTGCCCATACCGTATGATGATGTGCTGTCACATCGGGGTTTCTTTCTTTTTTTGAATCTCAAGTCGGATTTAAAAAGATAACCGAAAACTGCTTTTCGTAGTAACAGTACGTAGTACCAGTACCAGGTAGCGGGTATCGTACGTAAGATGATGCGGTTTAATCTGTTGATACAGTAAGTCGGGGTTGTCCTCTTTTGTGAAGGCAATGGTGSGGATAATCCAAAGCATTCGTACCATTGCATCGAAACTATCAATGATCGATACTATCCCATACCATAGCAGTAGAATTCAGTTCTCACCTCCGTTGTGCAAATCACCATGCAGTGCGGAGCAAACGGTATCTGGGACGAAACCGGCTGTTTCGTGTACGAGATAACGGCCCCCCATCGAATTTGTGTTCGGAACAGTCCCTGCAGCAGCCCCAAGCCTAGGCAGATTCAGGACTTCTACTATTTTGAATGCGGAGAACTCGTTTCAATAGATCTCATCCGACACAATCGAGAGGATTACACCGATCCCATAGGCAGCAACCATTCCGTTGGACTCCATCCAGGAGCTCATGCATCGATAACCAGAAGACGGAGAAGACGAAGCGACGACGGCCCGTTCCTYCGGCTTTCGGACGGTTCCGGTTGGATTTTGGCGAGAAGCGACGGACAGGATTTGGCCAAACGGGTGTATGTCGAAGACGCGAATCATGACTCGGACGAAAAGCGATCGCGAACCCCCTTTTGGAACTTTCGGGCGGACAACTTACCCCTTGGGATAGAGCTGCGCCGGCACCCCAACGAAGAGCTCCGGAATCCAAACGACACCAATCGATTTTCGTCTCCTGRTAGCGGAGGTATTCGATACCTCCCCATGCAACGAATCGTCTGCGACCGGAAAATCACCACCGCAAGCGGTGTGAGTTTTTTCCGGGTTCAGGGGACTTGTGGCTGGGTCTTTGATCGGCGCAGCAGCAACGGTAGCAACCACACGGGGCAAGAACCCTACCGCGAAATGATGATCCGAGACGATCTCGTCGACACCGGTCTCTTTGCCTTTCGGGTCACTTCCACCGAACCAATTGCCGTTCGGAGATCTTGCCACGTGGGGGATGGACCCAACAACCTAGGACCCACMGTGGTCCAACACGGGGACACCCTTTTGGTCGATGTGGTCCGTCGATCACCCTTGCAAGATGYCAACGGCAACGGTCCATTTCTTCGCYTGGTCGATGGATCCGGATGGTTGTTCCAGCACAGGCGCGGTGTGCCCGGGTCRCTTCTCGAAGAGGTGCCGATCGAAAACGGAGTTTTTCGTCTGAGAATCCTCCAGGTTCCGGACCACACAGCAACAAACCACGGTCAGCCCTTCTTGGATCGCTACCAACACCGGGGTCTTTCTTCCAAAGTCACAAACAATTACAACAGCAACAATAACCTTTCTCCRAGATTGAAACAGGGCGAAATTGTTTCGTGCGACCGMAAAGTAGTTGTGCCGAGTCCAACATCCTCTGCTGRGATTTGTTGGTGTCGRCAAGTAGGTACTGATCAATGGATTATGGTGAAACAGCAGACGAATGAGGACGACGATGAAGACATGCATGRTGGAGGACATATCGTTGCAGAAATTGTTCCCGARCCAGAGCAYCCCGCATCGTTCTTGCGGGAGAGAACGGCCGGGGACGTCCGCAAKCGTGAAACATACGCCTCAAGCAACGGAGCCAAACGTCTTCAACAGCAACCTTGGAGTCCGCGTCTTGTTCGGAGTTATGCATGCATGGTTCCTGGACTTGAGGAAATCGGATTCGATCGTCAGCACCAAATCCTCTCTTTTAAGAGCAGCAATGGCGTAATCTTTAATATTTACTGCGAAAACCGAGTGATCGGGATACTCTCGGTCAGAGAGAACACGATACAAGGCYGTGTTCAGCGGTATCATCGAAACTGTAGTGATTTGGAACTGAGAGAAATCCTTCAAGATACCAMAACCTGTCGAGGAGAGGGAGTTCATCGATGCRACAAGCGTGCTCGATCCTTTATGCCTCCATCTCCGATCCGTACTCGATTTTTGGCTGATGAAGAGGACTGCAACAATAGCGAAGAGTTATCGTTGAGAGAAAACCAAAACATCATCACCCCGGATACATCCTCTAGCAGCAGCGCGATTGGAACTGGGTTTGAAATGCACCAAGATTACAACAAAGACGACGATACCATCGATACCGAACTCGAGTGTCGAAKGGATCTAGTRGATTGCCAGAGGAAGATCCAAAATCTGTTKTACCGACAGGGAAACATTTTGAGGGCCATTAAAGTGTACGAAGAAGAGCGGATGCGCGATGCCGAGGCAATGAGAGCCAAGWCTGAACGAATCAGGATCGAACACAGGGAAAACCAACGACAAGTCGAGCAGCTCCAACATCAGCGACGARTCGAAGRAGATGACCSACAGGCACGATGGAGACGGACCTGTCGGCAATTGGTGTCCGAAAATGTATTTGTGGGGGCTTTCGTTGGGGGCGTTGTTGGACTTGTACTGAGTCCATACTGCGGCCCCTTGCTGGTGCAGAAACTCGGATTGCAGCACCTATAGCGAATACTATGAGGCGATAAGGAGAATCAACTACCAACTTAGTTCTATTGTATTTTACTTGATCGCGCGATAATTTTTTRAAGATTCTGTGATGTTTGCATCCGAATGTCATCAACTGCTGGACGAAGCCCAAACAAGTTGTTTGGATTATCGCACGGCCATTCACGGTCATGATACGAAAAAATATCTCTAACCAATACTTCTCGAGATGTCGTACTGCCAAGTAAAATTCCTTCATTTCATTCGCTGGAATCCCTGTCAGCAACTCATTCAACCTTCAATTTTTCATATCGCGACGCTTGCCAAAATACCTTTTATGGTGCCTMCTTTTAGCTATAACAAGCGGCTGCATCCAGTCACTCTTTGTCTATATTACAATGAAGCGCATCCTAGAGATCTTTGAAACTATTTCCAACACAAGTTTTCATTGTTTGTATTCAAGCGCAGGTTGGAATCAGGGACAAAAAATTGSATGAGAGAGTCACGATAGGAAAAACATCGGAAAATGGTTCGGAAATAATCGGAATAAATGCCATGTGTGGAATACCGGAAGTATACGTACGAGTAGGGTATGCAACGTACTTGTACTCCTACTAGAACCGCATGTTAAGTCGAGCGTGGGAATCAACTGTACTCCTACGAGAACGAGTACGAGTACGACTACGTACTCGTTCTGATTGGATTGTGTTCGTGAAACGACAGAAGGACTAAATGGAAGCCCCATTCGTTGCCCTTCCTTTTCGTCTTTCGAATCAAAATACCATCGAATCGTGACTCTTTTGACTGAAACGTTGAAGCAGAAACATGGCGTGCGCGCCTCTCTGTTCTTTCCGGAAGAACTCTCAGTAGCTTCGAAACAGAACTTCGCCGCATGCACACACATGCACGGTGCCCCCTTTTTTTTCACGCCGACAATTGGCGCATAATTTTTTGGAAAGTTCCGTTTTCGAAAAAGTTGCAATCACGTCATAATTGAAAAATATCGTAACAAAAACTACTTTTCAGTGTACCTGAACTCCAATACCGAGAATTTGATCAGAACCATCATGAGCGAGCAACAAAAAGCAAAATGTCCCGCACTATGTAAAATGGGCTGCGGCTTCTTCGCATCTGAGGCAACTGGGGGTTGTTGCTCCAAGTGCTGGATGTCGTCTATCAAGAAGGAAAAGCCAGCTGCTGCCGACGTTGTCGAAACTCCCACCAGCAAGARCACCACAGAGATTGACACGAGGTCGAGAAAACAGAGAGAAGAGCAAACGGAACTAYCAGCAGAAGCTTCATCCGCTGTAACGYCATTGAAAAAGTCATCGGAGAAGGTAGATTCCGATGCAAGTTCTTCAACGGCCCMAGTCGTCAAGAAGAAAAAGAAGAAGAAAGGGGGTTACAAGAACATGATGGCAGGAATGATGGCTGGTTCTAACAAGAAGGATATTGCCAAGGAAAAGGCTATATTAGCGAAGGGACTCGGGGGTGGCGCCTTTTCGAAAATCGAGAAGATCTAGAGACGAGCAAACAAACACTGCTAAAGAACGCAGACAAAATGGTTTCCRGTGAACATAATTATTGTAATGATAGCTTTATATTAAAGAKAACAGTCTTCGTCTATTATGACATAGATMTTCAGCAACCTATTTGCAATAATCTGGTGTTTAATCTGCTCCTGCGTCGTTTCATAGAAGGTATCCAATGGACCTTTTTTTTCGAGAAGCCGACTTCAGATTGGACTGTTCATTGATGGCATCACAAAGAGGCTTTCGTCATCAGGGGGAAACGAGAAGAAATTGACGAACGTGATGATTGACCCTTGACACTAGTTGCACCTGTCAGAAAACCAAGAAGACTGATTTGGTGAAATTGTTCGATGAGGTTCGTTCGTTCTCCGATTCCGCGCGACCTAGTGGTAGCGGAACATTTCGCACTTTGAACGTCGTTKTACGGCGTTCTGTACTGCGGTTACTTAGGCACGTACCTTAAACGACGGGTCATCTGATTTTCGACTCGTTGCGTCAGTAGCGCTAGCTATGACCCTGCGCATGTACATACTTGTATGGAACATACGATACGATACCCTACAATGTGAAGTACCAAGTACGTACGTACCGGTAATGAACAAGAATTACTCGTAACAGGTAGACATACCTATTGACCATACTCTAGGAGAGTACGTACCATGCTGTCTTTACTTTTGAGAGTACTATGCAAGCAAGTACCCGGAAGGTACCTAACAGAATATCAACCAAAAATGCAACCGTGTAGGATGTAGTACATAATATACGTAGG